ACCCACCAGCGGTGTGTGACGGCTGCTGTTAGAACCTGTAGTTGGAAGTTGGTAATAAAGAACAAACTCACGCGAAATGAAATGAAGACATGTTTATTTTGAGCACCTATACGTTGTTAATAGACGGGTGGTCTAATGGTTAGCGACTCGGGATACGTAATCGGAGAGTCTGAATTCCGCTTGTATTAATTACATTCACTTCGGAAAGGTATGAATCCACCTCTACTGGAATTCGAACAGCTATGGGTTAAATAGTAGGGTATGTTGGGTTCTTTAGCCTTGGGTGGCAACCAGTCTAGGAGAAGGCGAACTCTGAATTTAAAGCTATATGTAACCCATGCGAAGCACATATAAGGTAGGGGAAGGAACGTGGAGCTTAAAATGACTTAGGCCTTGGGAAAACTGTGTATGAAACCTTAGTATATTTCACTAACATACAATCCACCCATTTCCTTATGGTAAATCTCATGTTTTCTTTGAAGACAGTTAATATCGGTTCCCCATCGATTAACCAGCTAGGAGAGAGAAGAGGACAAATAATAGATAAGAAAAGAAGTGCCCAGCTGGACCGTCTTTTATTGTGGACATCCTTAGTAACTCTTAATACTGTCTCTTTGGTTGATTTTCTCGTAATCCAATTTCGTTTTTTTAAGCACACAACCCCAAGCAAGGCGGGAAACCACTAGCACGCAAAGGGTTTCAGAGTAGGAGCGAGAACAAAGATGAGGGATAGAGGAAAGGATGAAAATACGGTTAGGGGATAGATCAGGGCATCTGGAGATGTCGATTGACGTTACATTTGAATAGTTGGAGATTATAGTTATCAGGAAAACAAGAAATGGGGAGAGAGTTCCACAGGCGAGAAGTGCGAGACATGAAGCTATTGGAGTAGAAGAGACAGCTACATATAACAGTTTCGACAGTGAAAGGGTGAGAGCGAGATGCCAGCCTAGTTGAACGCTTAAATTCATGAAGTCTGGGAACCAGTGAAAGCAGCTCATCGGAGCAGTTACCGTGAAAGTATTTGTAAAAAAGACAGAGGTAGGCAACGGCACGTATGTGAGAGTGCGGCGGCATCAGGGCCAATTACATTGCATATCTGTCTTTGGACAATTAGAAGGGTCTCCAGACCATATATGGCATTAATACACCATGTAAGGACGAATGGTTGATTTGTTGATTTGAAGGATGGACTCCGGTGAGAAAAATTTCCTAGCGCGGTATAGGGAGCCAACTTTCCTAGCGGTGGACGAAGCTATTGACTCAATGTATTTGTTCCATCTCAGGTCAGCGGACAATGTGAGACCGATCAGTCGCAAAGAGGTGCTCTCGTGGAGTTGAGCGTCAGACATTCTAATGGGAGGCAGGGATGGTTCTCCCTGGTGAGTAATAGCAGTTTTCTTTTTGAGGCATTACTTTCTTTCCTGAGGTGCGTCCCTTGTTAGTTTGCTTGTTTAATTTCTACGGCACATTATTTACAGGTCTTTGGTTCGAGAAGGAAGGAGAAAGGGGAACATTAATTTTTGTGTTACCTTTTCTGAGTGTCCGGCTTTGGGTTTTTTTTTTAATCTAAACTTTTGTCATAAACTGATAAAGTTGTCTGTACATTTCCTAACATAAATATTCAGTTATGCTAATCTATAAAAAGGACATTATTTTTGATTTCCTTAAAGCGTTTTTATTTATATAAATTTGATCAATCTTCTCAGACAGTTATTCCATCTATTTTTTCTTCTGGTCAGTTCAGTCCGTGTGTGCCCAAATTGATGAGGCCAGTTCTGGTTGACTCTCGAATTGCAGACGTGTAAACTTCGATTCAAAAACCGGAAAGCGGCAATCTTTTTCTGTTTTGATTGGCTTTCGAAAGTAAACGATGTCACCAACTTGTGTTAAAAAAAACGCTACCCTTTTTATTGCTATTCAATAATAGAAGACACATATATTTATAGCAATCGATAAATCGTCGACATTAACCAATGCACAATCACGCAGATTGTCTCTGAATTCGCGCAGTATGACAGTCATTCTCACAATCTACATTTTCAGCAAATTCTATTGCGATGTATTTGAGCGAAACATTTTTAGACATATCCCACCAAACTGTGATATCATAGGTAGGATTAGTTAAAATTTTGAAACTTACATTCCCTTGGGTGTTCATAAGCAAATACTAAAGACCTATAAAGTAAGCCAATTTACATTATTCGGACTGTTGTCCTCGTCTTTGTTGCCATATTCATGACGTGTCGGCCGTTGTACGCGCTGGCCTTCTTCAGATGATTAAAATTTCGAACTGAACCCTTTATCTCGTCCACCGGGTTAGATTGTTCTAGTTTTACGTGACATGGCTCTTTCGGATGTCTTAGTTATATCCCATTAGATCAACTCTCCAAGTTTTTCTTCACTGTAGCCAGGTATTGAACTCTCAATTCTTTGGGTCAATTCACTGGATCTAACCAACGCTTTTAGCCATGTGTCCTTGAGAACTCAGTGTATGAACTTTTGGGACCCATAAATTTAATGTTTCAGTATAATTTCTTTTTTTTAACAGAGCTCACATTATATTTTTGTTGTGATTATTGCTTTTCTCTAGCACTCCGCAGCACTGGATCTCATATTGAATTCATTTCTATGCTTGGTCGGCTCAGGAGATTTTTGTGGCCTAGCTTATGTGCTGATTCCTTAATTTTTTGATATTTTCCAGTGATGTTCTCTATTATTTCAACCTCATGCCATAGGGGGCGGTGATTTCCCTATTCTCTCCATATGTGGTCAGCTACGCTGATTTTTCTATTTCCTCTCGTCTTACGTTTTTAGGGTGTCACGGGAAAAAAACTGCCCCCGGCTGTAGCAAACTCAGTGCACTAAAGTGGGCGGGGGATCGGTAGTAATACCGATGCCAGCGAAACCGACGCAACCAACGGCTGGGTTATTTTTGGACCTGGCCCGGGTGCACGCACTAGGGTCATCCATATTAGATTGACCTTGTGTCACCTCTTGCCAGCGTGGGGAAGGAAGAAAATGCAATCGCTTTTTGGCCTTTTGGCTAAGATCAAAGCGTGGTATCTGTTCTTTTCAGTTTAATCAGATTCTCGCTCTCTCAACACTTATATATTCACTTCTTCCTTTCTTTCTTTCGATTTCTTATTGAAAGCAAGTAGTGTCTTTTTCTTTTCTTTCAACGCGTTCAAAACTGTATAGTCCATTATTTATGAGGTATAATAGGATATTAAATAGCTGACGTTGAAGATGAAGGTAATTGTCAGCTCAGATTTAATAGAAAGGTATAGAAATAAGGAAAACGAACAACTGATAATATCAGATTATTATGAAGTGCATTGTGTTGATGGTGCTTCAAAATCTTGGTTTATTTTACTATCATTTTGAAGTCTAAGGAATTTCTAAATTCGAGGTTTCATCGTTTTAAATCAAAACAGTAAAATTTTATATCCTACCAATTTGAGTACTATTATATCAAAAAAGAAAAAAAAAGATATATATATATACATTTACTCTGGGGGTTTTAAAAGTTATACATTTGCGGAAAAATTAATTAAAAAAATGAAATTTATGCGTATTTATTCCGCACTCAGAACTTCTACAAAAAGTCACCACGGGAAATGGTTGTAAATATTACTATTGGATTGGTGCATAATTATCAGGCGTTTTTGTAGGCTAGATATTTGTTAATAAAAACGTCTGATAATTATGCACCAATCCAATGCAAATAAGCTGATAAATTCTCTGAAATTCCTAAGCACAAAAGGTTAAGTCGTATATTCTAAGTAATTAGTCTATCCAAAACAAACCCTAGAATTTAAAAGATATCAATTATAAAAAAGAGAAATATTTAGATAAATGAAAATACACTCTATCGAAAAATCTATTCATGTAGGACCTGTCGTATTTTCTTTAGTAAATGTTGGCGTATTACAAGACTCTAGAGCCACTCAATGTAGAGGACTACTGAATACGATTGTTGTATTGACGAAACAAGAGGAAGTAAAGATCGTGAGGATATATAGAATTGATAACAGTTGACTCTTTACTTGAAAAACTTAAGATTGTAGCAGTCAGGGAAGCATCCTCTCGGCAAAGTAGCGTTACTTATAAATGAATCCCTTTTCTCGGTGTTTCAGATTGAGGTTAATGTGAATGACAAGTCTGGTTGATCATTATAACTGAATAATGATTTTTATCCTCATTGGGGAGTGTTGAAACTTGACTAATGCATGGAATAATAATGCAACACAAAATGTACTTAGAACAAAATGTATTGAAACAAGAAAGTGTACACAATATTTACATATAGTCTTTTGTATATTCCTGGTAAGACCGTTCCTGGAGAATGTGCTGACTGAGTCGCAGTCGGGCAGAGTCTCTGGTTGAATCTCTTGATTCCTCCCTCTCTTCCCGGTACCAACCATATTTATATGGTCGGTACTCCACTATGCAAATTAGGTGGATCCTACCACAACAGGGAGAATGGAAACAAAAAGAAAACATATACTTTACACCAGGTAGAAGTAGTTAAGGTTTCTGGAGCATGTGATGAGGAAGGAAGGGTTGGAAAACCTGATACTCACGGGATAAATTGAGGAAATGAGTGACAGAGGAAAGCCGTGCGTAGTATATTGATGAGATTGATCAAATGGGTGGCAGAACAGGGTTTGGGAGTAATAATAAAAGAAAACACATATTAAACGTTACAAGACACAGAAAGATGTGGAGAGCCACGATCGCGTATACCCTGAAGAGATACGGCATATCAAAGAATATGTGCCCTATACTTATGGCCATGTGCTTAACTTAGCTAAATAACATAATGGTCAGCAATTTAGACTTAGAAATCATTTCTTGAGAGATCGAAAATCATTGGGTGCTCATTACCCGTGGCCTTATGCCAAACTAAGTTATGTTTAATAACAGCAACTGAAGTTGTTATACCTGAAATCAGATAAAGTCTGCTTGTAGACTTACGTTGATCTTCATAGACCTACCTTCTTCTTCGACTCTTTCATCCGATGGTCCCGGGTGGATTCGGCCTCGCCTGGGGTCTTTTTTACCCACATAACAACGATGATGCTGCCATAGGTAAAAATAAGAATCAAAAGAGGCAGGAAATACTGCAGGGTGAGGATAGTGATGCCGAAAAGCAGGTGAATATCTTTTTTCTCCCATTTTTCAATGCAATATTCAGGGGCTGAGGTGTGATTCACGTATTTGGTCGCTCGGGCCTTTAGTGCTGTCGGCAATGGAATAAGAATGGACAGGGTCCAGATCATGACAATGGCCAACAGAGCTGTCTTCTTTGTGGTCTTCGGCCTTAATGGGTAGATAATTGCCATGTACCTGAAAACAACAAAACACCAACGGTCACTGAAACGATATAGTTACGCAAAGGACATTAAATAGCGAAATAGAACTATTATAATTGTTTTACCGAATTAACGCAAGACATGACACAGTAGAAAGTTTCACAATTGAAGAAACGGAAATAAAAATTCAAATCATACATAAAATAAATATAGTAAATATATCTTTATATTGCCTTTACAACAAAGATTCCATTACCCTATTTAAGAAATGCACATCTCTCGTTGGACCGTTTCTGAGTCTATATTTTGTCAATACAATATCAAAAGGGTTGTTTAGTGATATTTTTTTATAAGAGAGATAGGGACGAGGAAGTAAGAAATGCATATTATGAGGAAATGTAGGAGTGATATAAATTGATGCTGAACTTGAAGATGTTAAGATTTTAGTGGTCAGGGTGTGGCCCTATGCTAATCACGGTACTAGGTAGGTTCTGTGACTACCACATGCGTTTCTGACTAGGAGTTCTATCAACTCCTTCTGCGCCCACGTTGTGCTTGAAAGATCCTCAGAAGGAGGATGAAACAATTTGATCGGAACTCCTACGGCCAGGATAGTCGGTACGAGTTGCTAGATTTCTTCGTTGAAATGTTTTTGAAAAAATCCCTTTAGTGATATCTACTGACACGAAATTGAACGTTGAAATTATCCATCACTTGTCTATCAATCTTCTTTCACTGACCTTTTTACTGTCCTGGTCAGTCTTCATACAGCTGCTTTCGAAGTCGACCATAGTTTTCTCGATTGAAAATACAGTGCTTTGAAACGATTTCTGGAACGCCGCTTCTTGGCTTTACAAGTTCCTTAGCGATTGCTCGATGGTTCATTTTTCTTGCACATTTTCACTATTTTAATCCTGGCTTATTCGGAAATTTTCTCCGTGATTACATTTAATGAAATAATCTGAACTTACCTTAAAATTCGAACTGGGGACTCCCGATTTCTCATTTTGAAACGCTATTAGACCCACCCGCACATCCGATCTCCCGTGATTAAATATAAAGGATGCAATTAATCAGAAGGAATCGAGAACGTGGCCATGAAAACAATAGTAAATGTAAGATAAGTAAAAAACGTATTTATAATTGTGAAAATATTTAATCTAAAAATTAGAGTATTACTTTTAAAAACTTTTAAACTATATATGATGGAAAGCGGCCGGATCCTCTCTCCTGTGGTCGCAGTGTCGGCTGCTTTCTTAGACATGCAGCAATAAACGACAGCAAAAAAACCCTTAAAGTTACTTACTAGAGGCATAATCTTGGCTCGAGTATTTTTGGTAGCAAACTACAATTATAAATTCAAAATCTCCTTGGACCAAACGACCTTCTTCAATTGATACAAAGTTTAATCTCGGTTCTCACGTGTTAACTGGATTTCCTTTCGCCGATGTTCTTTGGTGAGTATAGTTATTCTGATCTGCCTGCAGCTACGTAATCCCCTAGCCAACAAAGATTGTTCAAGACAGGAAAATGACGCAGCCGATCCCGGCTTCTTCTATATGCCAGGTCCATTCCGGACATGACTCTCCACAACTTCCTGTCATTTGTAGCTCTTAGTAAATTTTGTCTCTTTGCTATATTTCCCAAGCCCTGTTATGTCAAGCATATACACAAGCTCGTTAGATACGTTATACGCTGCTTTCCTCTGTTCATCTTGCCTTCTATATGTCCTGTGACTGTTAGATTTTCCGAGCCCTCTTTCCTCATTATGTGCCCTAGAAATTTCAACTGTCTCTTTTGGATGCTAGATATAAGAATCCTTTTTGTTTCTATTTTCTCTAAACCTTCGTCGTTGCTTGCCTGTTTATATACCTACGACCCCGACATCGATAATTGTTACGATAGTTACGAGAGAGTAGTTGTTGTTCTTGCTACATGCTTCTGGTCATAATATTTTGGTTCATCGATGTTTGTTTATGCGTGTGTGCATTTGTGTGTGGATATACGGTTCAACACTCTTTTCAAAATCTGATTAAATAAAAGAATATTATAGAATCACATCTTGATCAGGTCGGCAAATTTTCGGTATCATGCCTCATATAATCATCATGTCGATTTCAAGATCCAAAATAAAGAAGGATTTTCCATGAGTGCCACAGACTTTCGCGCTTCTGCAAAAGGTAAATTGAGTGGCAAGCAAGTCTGCTGTAGTGATGGAAAGCGTCGTAGGTACTATCCATAGCAGTCATTAAACCAGTGGTTAACCGGCAATGGACCAGTTGCATGAGACATTAGCTGTGCCGGTTAAGAAGTCGTAGGTTTTCTGTCAGAGTTTCCCTCTCTTTGCTAACTCATCGTCATAGGTTTGCTACATTTCTGAAAGAGCATTTCGACGTCATGATATGGCTGTGCAGAATAAAACGCGAGATCTGTCCATGTGGAGATTGTATTTACTATTTTCTTTTTCTTTTTTAAAATAATTGTTCACACAAAACAATTGCCAAGATTCAAGACTATGAAGTTGTTTGACTGCAAGAGAGATAAGATATGCAGATTAATAAGGTGTAGGAAAGACAACGGGAGCGGTTCTTGTAAAAGTTCTTGGGAAGACTCTGACAGAATGGAACTATACTTCTTACTAATGGAATACACAAGGAATGGGAATGATTCAGTCCAGTGTATATGGCATGGCGAGTTTTAGAAATAATGATCTGAATTGGTAATTCCAAGGAATGGTGCTCGTATAAAGATTTGCCATGGAAAGAGCGATAGAGTTTAGAGAGGATTGAGAGTCTTGCAGCGATTCGTTTGTGGGAAAGATGTGAGTTGGACAAATTCTGTAAAACAGCCCTCTCTTTTGTTCGTTTGTTATTTCTCCCAACTATAAAAGCAGATGACTTTTGCGAATTCATTGATACACAGTGGAAGCGAATTGTGGCTTAGAAAGGGGCTTATACAAAGTAGCAGTAATAAAAGAGACCCGAGTAAATAACATTGTTTTAAATTAGGCTTTCAGTTACTTTTTATATTATTGATCACCTAAAGCCCCAAATCCACTCAAAGTAAAATATTACGAAGCGAGAATTTTGATGTTGCAAAGAGAAGAAGTGCTATTAGAGATATTGGATAGGCAAAGGTTAACTCTAGATTTGAAAGGTGAAAATGTACTTCTTAGCTATGAAGGCGTAAAATGGTGGCCCTAAGGAATGTAAATCGTCTGATCATTTGCCGTTGAAATAGCGATAGAGGAGCGAGAAACATCATTTCGTCTTTAAGAAAAGGAGTTGCAAGGTCCAAAATAATTCATTACCCACAAAGCCACATAAATGCTGGTGAAATTGAGTGATATTTCTGGAATGTGAGAATTGAGTAATTCCGGCTTTGATACGGAAGCAATATTCCATTTTTGGTTGGATCTGAACGTGAAGCGGGATTCTTTCTGGTGCTATAAAAGAAGCCGACCGTTTTTATCAACCATATTTAGCTTCATTTGAAGATATAGTAGAGTATATAACTTACCGGTCGGTGTTCACTTCAGTGTCCATTGCTGCTAATGCAATGCTCTTCTACTCGAATCGAGTTCTCCTTAGCTACTGACGTCTTTCGCATAGTAAAAACGTTAATAATTCCCTTTCTCTCTGCCCTGCGATGATAGCTTGCGGGTAGAATCTCTGACTGATGCCAAATCGGTCGGGTTTCGATCAGTTATATATATATATATATATATATATATATATATATATATATATATAAAGATATTTTTGTAGGTACAAAATTTAATGACGGAAATAAAAGTGTAAAACTTAATATTACGAGACATATTAAAAACGGGCGAAGCAACCGCTTTCGCTCCCGCTCTTAAGGCTTCAACGGGAGATTTAATTTAAATTAAAACAACAGAAAATATATAATAAAAAGGAAGTTGTGGAAGTGAGGAGAAGAAAAATGAGCAAAAGGAACTAGAGACAAATGACAGCGAGCCCCAACAAACACTCACGTTGTTTACACAAAGAAGGCTTAAGGGATCCGATGTAAAGTGCCTCCAGAACCTTTAGTTGAAATAAAGACTGTGACCGGGACAACACGGTGAACTAGTCAAGACTAGTATTTAGTGACCCCACCCCCACTAGGGTATTATGTGGCACAAGGCCGGTTTAACGTGGGATCTCCGAGCCCGTGGGCTCGGCCAAAAACATGCCCTTTGAAACGGGTTCAGGGTCGGTTTATGTTCTTTTTATTGATACAAATATTTAAGTAAATTCTCTGTTCATAATAAACAGCATTAACTACATTTACCGGCCTGAATGTCCGAGAAATTTTCATAATAAATATGCGTCCTCCGACAGGAATCGAACCTGTATCCTATACGGAACCGTCATATAGCGTGGCGTGCTTTTATCGTTTAAGCCACAAATGAGCGTTTCGGTTAAGACCAGTAAAATCGACTTTGCTAATCGAAACGCTCCTCTGCGGCTATATGACGATTCTGTATAGGATACAGGTTCGATTCCTGTCGGAGGACGCATATTTTCTATGAAAATTTCTCGGACATTCAGGCCGGTAAATGTTGTTAATACTGTTTATTATGAACAGAGAATTTACTTAAATATTTGTATCTATAAAAAGAACGTATAAACATAAAAAATCTTAATATATATATATATATATACGCTAAATATATGACATTTTGTAATATTTCTGATGAACTGGCATTATCGGCCGAAAATTTCATTATCCATTGAAAATGTCAGATCTAAACTCTGATACGAAGTTTCAAGATATCTTATCTGCACCCTAATTCACGTGGATGCATGCATATGTGTGTAAGGATAGGTATATTTGCAGTCTATAAAACGGAAACGTCTTTATCCATCGGTTGATAACAAATATATGCTTCCATCTATTCTAGATTTGTACTAATTGAAAAAAACAAATTACCATGCACGGATTATTTTTAGATTGCCGAA